TATACACACTGGGTGAATGTGCAGTAGTAGCAGCAAGCAGGTGAATTCTGTACATTAATATGAATAGACATCTGACTATTTTACAGGATAGACAATATAAACATATTTAAAATTAAAGGAATTGAAATGTACATTGTGCCTTGGTTTAGAGTGTCTGGAAGAGAGTCCTGTCCTTCAACATGAAATTCAGGTGTTAGTGTATTTTTACCATGTGACGTTTACAGGTGCAGGTCACATGCTTACTCACTAAACTCCTCCCATCTCTCTTTCCCCTCTGGCTGCAGCTCTTGGCTACTCGGTGCCGTCTGTGCCAAACGGTGTCACGCGGATCCCATCTGTAGGCGAGGCACCATCTCACCCATCCAGTCGTCACCCGTCTGTGGCGAGCACCCGGCTGCCGTCGGTGGGGGAGGAGTCTACGCACCCTCTGCTGGTGGCCGATGAAGCGGTAAGTCTCACCTGCCATCCTCGCTGTCGGGGGTGGGACATCCTGAGCTCTGTGTGCACTTTTAGCAGCACTGCCCAGTCACGTTTGAGCATGGTTAAAATACACCTGCACAGGAAGTGTTTTGTTCTATGCACAAGCAGAGAACGGCTTCTTCCTGCATCTGCTTTTCACAATAAAAGCCCCAGACTGCTGGTAAACTCTTTCTACAATATAGTGACCCATTAAACCTGACACAAGTACACCTCAAGCCCCTGAAGGTTTTATCAGATACTGTGATGTTATCATGTTGACCAATAGGCTGAAATGACCCCTCATTAGAAAAGCATTGTGTCAGTTAGTTTCAACACAGTAATGTACAGAAATCGATCAGAAACCTGTCGACCACATCAATCTGTACCTCAGACCTTAGTTAACAGTAGCTGCTGCATTTTAATCAAACACCTGAAGAAAACGTTGAGTTTAACCTGCAGTGCTGACCCATCAGTTTTTAGATCAGGTAGACACAGGTCTGATCTTCACTAGCAGAACATAAAGTCCAGCTGAAGGAATCTGCTACCTGAAAACTCTCCTGAGAGATCACCTGGGGACCACTGATGATTGTACAGGTGTCTCACTCCTCTGACCTGTTAGCTTTACCTGGAGGACTTGGACTGCTCGTCATCTAAATAAATGAGAGATGTGACACACCTGGACAGTCCGAGGGTTCAGGTGATCGTTTCCAGATGTTTTCCGTGCTCCTGAAGCTTTCTGTCACTTTAAAGTTTGTCAGTATGGTGACCTGTAGGTAACTGGGTCTCACCTATCTATCTGTTCACAGGTACACACCTACGTCAACACCACGGGGCTCCTGGAGGAGCAGCCGAGCCCGCTAACTGTCACCACCCCGCTGGAGAGCCCTACCTCTCCACAGTCTCAGTGTCCGCCGACGCCTCCGCCCCCTCCGAGGGTCCGCGGGGAGCCACCGCCACCGACGCCCACTCCAGCAGAGCCACAGGTGTTGCTGGAGCCACAAGGCGTGCGTTTTGTGCTGGGCCCCACGCCTGTTCAGAGGCAGCTGATGGAGCGGCGGCAGAAGGCGCTGAAGGATGCCGCCGAGCACCAAGAGACTAACGGCCACGGCGAGAAGCCCACCGAGCCTGAACCCGCCGCCACGCACTCCAACGGCTCGTCGGCTCCTCGCCGCCACCGCCCGCCCCCCCTCACACCCGACCTGCAGAATGTCAATAACTCGGCCCAGCGGCGCACGGCCCTGCTGGACTATGAGAACCTGCCAGCGCTTCCGCCCGTGTGGGAGGCGAGGAAGCCGAGCTCCGAGGACGAGGAGAAGAGCTGCGGCGGCTCCAAAACGCCGTCGCTCAATGGCTACAACCACCATGCCCACCACCACCTGCACCACTCCTACTCCCACCCGTTGTCCGCTGCGCTTGAGTCCTCGCACAACTACGTCAACACAGAGAACGTCACGGCGCCGCTCAGCGCCCATCGGCCTGACACGGCCCGCCGCCGCGTTGATGGGCCCACCATCTTCAACTTTGACTTCCGCCGGCCGCTGGTGTCGGGCCACAGCGAGCCGCCCAAGACGCTCAACTACATCGAGGTGGAGATGGACAGCGGGGCCGGGAACAAAGGCGCCTCCGACGGGAGCAATCCCCACACACCGCGCACCCCCTCCTCGCCGTTGCCCCCCACCACCCCCACCCGCCGCACCGAACTCTATGCCCTCATCGACATCGAGCGCACCGCTGCCATGTCCAACTTACAGAAGGCGCGGCCGCGGGACGACGGCACGTCACGCAAGACGAGACACAACAGCACGGAGCTGCCCACCAAAAGCACGGCGTGACACCCCCCCCTCCCCCGTTTTTACTCTGGGCTCCACGCCGAGCCGCACACGGACTCCATGAGCCGGACACTTCCTGCAGACAGACTGATGATGACATACCTCTGCTGGAGGCGGCGTGCTGATGATGTAATAGACTTCCTTATATGGTACAAATCAGTATTACTGAACAAAGCATTCCATTTAGCCTTTTATACGAGTCACTACGTGCTGCTGTAAGTCACTTATGTTCTACATGTACAGTAGATGTGCCACAATAAAAGTCTGGTTTTATTTCTACTGCAGAGCCTGTTTGGGGAGGAGTCTGTTTAGCTCATTTAAATGTCTGAACTAGTGATGGGAAATTTGATTCTTTTTACTGAATCAAGTTTTAATGAGTCACTCACCAAAGTGAATCGGGTTTTTTGAGTCATTTGATTCACTGAGTCAGTCGACCAGAGAGTGCAAAAAATGTACATTTTCACTCAAACTTGATTTGTTTCTCTTTTCATGTAAATCCTACTGCTAAGATGAGTGATTCTAAAAGAAAAACAACTATTTTATAGAGCAAAAAAGAGCAAAGACATTTCTAAAATTAAGCAATTTCCTATCAAAATTGCTTAATAAACATTTATTTTGTTTATTTTTATTTTATTAGTATTTTCCTTAAATGTGTCAAATATATATTTTCTCATCTAAATGTCCACTGAGCTGTGAGCCAGGGGGCGGTAATGCGCCTTAACATTGTTTGCCAACCAAGAAGAAGAAGCTGTGAGCCAGGAGGGAGGGGGTGAGTAGCTCAAATGTGCTGTTAGCATGTTAGCAGAGCGATGCTACTGTGAACCGAGGAGCTATTGTCTTGATGTGAGCTTCTACTCAGGGTTTTTTCTTCCAGTTCAGAGCAGAAATCTTTTTGTTACGAAACTGGATGTTGTGTTTTTCTCCACAATTTTAATTATAAGCTAGATACATTGCTGCTAACAGCAACAGGGATGAGTCAGTGAGTCAGTTGGGCTTGTGAATCATGAGTATTGAACGACTCGTTCATGATTCGCGCATCACTAGTCTGAACTCGGGTTTCTGGTGCAGCAGTGAGAGAAGATCTGCAGTTTGGCGATGACTGATGAAGGCACCACATGTGACTGAAGTGCAGACTTTCAGCTTTTGCTCAGCAGCTTTACAGATTTACTTTTTGCTGTCTGGGATCTGCAGTGTTAAAAGCAACTCTTACATTTAGACAGTCTGTCCACTTACTTTTTATCTTGTGAGAACGGTGTAGTACTTTAATGAAACCCTGCCCTTCAGTCCCATCCTGGTTCTTACACAGGAAGAACTATGAAACCTGGCCTTCGTCAGCATCACTGCACCTGAGCACACAGGTGTTTTCCTGTATGACCTCAGCGCAGCAGGTTTAGGAGAGAATGCTGAAAACGTGTGCTGACAATACCTGTTCAACCAATCACATCCATTCACTGGCTGTGGGACAGGAAGCTGTACAGAGTCGGTGGAATCCAGATGTTTATGTTACTGCGCTAATCTGTCATTCACCTGCTTTTATGTTCCTGTTACCTACAGGTGTGTTACTCATCCACCCCACACATCTGACCCTACACCCTAAACATGACCCCAGTATCAAATACTCTAGTACATCTCGCTGCTCACGCTTTGCACTGCAGATCTACACCTTTAGCCCTCCACAGGACTGTTGGCAACAGGTGATCAATGTGATGAATATTGATCGACCCCATTGGTCTAAAGGTCACATGATTGATGTGTGAGACCGACTCAAACTTAGAAAACACTTTATTTCATCACATTTACATCTGAAAAACACGACAGTACAAAACTGATGACAGATTATAAAATATTTACACGGCCGCCTCACTCCGAGTGCCGGCCCTGCGTGGCGAGTCTCCGCCTGCTCATCAGCTCCACGGTGCGATGGTACTCGTCTAATTTGTCTCGGACTTTGTTATAAAGCTGGAAAAACAAAACAGTAAGTGCAGAGCGTCAGGTCACGTGTGCGCGTCTCAAGTCACTCAAGTGCACTGACAGGAAAAAGGAAGTGACTCACGGCGCCTTGGGTCTGCGTCTCGTTCAGCGCCTGCAGGAGCTGGTCGATGGACGTGTACGGCAGCCATGCCGGGGGAGACGTGGCAGAGAGCGGCCGCTGAAAAAGGCGAGTAAAAAGGAAAGGCGTTAAAACAGCACCGACACGTCACAGATACGCATGTCGGCGTGACTTTTACCTCAATTCCAAAGTACTGGTGACCACGCCCCAGGACGGCGTCCACATACTCCAACACGAGCTCTGCCGCCGCCTCCAGCAGGTCAAAATTCAGGAGGAGGCGCAGCAGAGACGGAGCGTCCACGCGCTGAAACAGAGAGTGGCATGGTGGGAAAAAACAAACCTTACGTGGTAGGGCTGCACGATTAATCGTTAGAAAATCGCGATCTCATTTCCAAATGACAACGATTTTAAAAAAGAAAAAAAGACAATTGTAGCGCATTTTGATCCGGGACGTACTCTGCATGAAAACAAGCGCTCACTCTTCCTGCTCAACAAATGACAAGGGCGGAGCCTTATACCACGTGATACAGAAGCTGTGCCGTGTGATGCTAAAATTAGCAGGAAAAAACCACGGAGAGCACGTCAGGGATGACGAGAAAGTGACAGGAGAAAATCCGTCCCGGTCAACCACCCAAACATCAATAACGGGAACCTTATACAGCGCTTCCCTATACACGTCGAACTCCCGCAGGCACAAAGACATTACGGAGGCTATCACTTATCACCTGACCAAAGATATGGCTCCCATCAACACTGTGCAAAACGAGGGATTTGGGAAAATGATCAACACCCTAGACAAACGCTGCACAGTGCCGTCCCGCAACTATTTTTCTATCGTTGCACTACCTGCTCTGTACACGCAGCGTCGAGCAACGGTGGAGACGGAATTTCAAGCAGTACAACATTTTGTTTTTGTGTTTATTTATTGTTTTTATGTTCAGTCTCAACTGTTACGAATTTGATGTGCAGTTAATAAGTGCAATAAATATTTATACTGGAAAAGAAAATCGTGATCTCAATTCTAAGCCAAAAAAATCGTGATTCTCATTTTATGCAAAATCGTGCAGCCCTGTAACCCCGCCCGCTCCTCTTCACCAGCCGAGCTCTCACCTTGTAGCCTTTGACCAGCCAATCGGGTAGAGGGACACCATGTGACAGCAGCTTGTGGATGACGTAGCGGTGATGCTGCCCATTGGTGGAAGGATACTTGTCCAGGTAGGAGGCGAGAAGACGCCACGCCTCGTCTGCGGTGCTGCGAACAGAAGGAGGTTGTTGTTAGTTATATGGAGGTCCACGGGCGTCTGTTTCCTGCAGATAAACAAAGAAGTGTCAATCAGTAAGTGATTGTTGGAAGCTCACCTGGACTCTTTGGTGTTGACAACTGACAGCTGATTAACAGCCAACCAGCTCCAGGCTTCGTTCTGAGACTCCTCCCCTCCAAGCTGCAGCTTGATGCACCTGAAAACAGTGCGAGGTAAACAAATAGGTGAAAAAGACAAAGCCGTAAACGGAGAGCGCCGCTGAGGCGTGCGGTGGTGGACCTACTTGAAGGCGAGGCCCTCAAAGACGGGTGTCAGGCTCAGGTTGAAGGTGCGACTTAGAACCAGCGCAGAGTCAAAGAGTCCCGTCTGAACCAGCAAGACCAGCAGCTCTGCCGCCGAGGCTCCGCCTACACACAGTTACATGGTCACCTGTTTACTGTAAAGCTCCGCCTGTGTGTGTGTGTATATGTGTATATACGGATATTAACATCTTCATGGGGACCAAAAGTTGGTAGTTTACTATACTTGTGGGGACAAACAGCCCTCGTGGGTCCTCATGAGTTTGAAGCATTTTTGAGACTCAGAATGTGGTTTTAGTGTCAGGGTCACAATTAGGCTATGGATAGGTTTAGGGTAAGGGTCAGTGTCAGGAGCTAGGGAAAGCATTATGTCAATGAGATGTCCCCACAAGGATATAAATACACATGTGTGCGCGCATTAGCGTACCTGCGATAGCAGCGGAGGGCGGGTGGTGCTGGGCGAGGGTGAGCCGGCTGCGAGACAGGATGTACTCCTTCTCCAGGTCTCTGACCTCCAGGATATCCACCTGTCGCTTGACTGAACAGGAAGCAGAGCAAGGGTTACAGCAGCTCGCCACCAGGGGGCGTCACCTGCCTGGACAGAAGCCTTATCCACTCTGAAAATGGTGGGACTTCAAGTCTAAAGGCCCTGGTGTGTTTGATTTAAGACTCACCTGGCTCAGCAGGAAACTCTCCGTCAGAGTTTCTCTTCGGAGACGCACCTGGACGCTCGTACTGCAGGAAAACCCCCCACAAAAAACAAAATCACAACACTGTTGGACAGGTCACACAGATTCAGTCGGTGTGTGTGTGTGTGTGTGTACCGTTGCCCCGGAGACCGGCTGGACGATCCAGGCGTACTCCGGCCTGATGAGGCGTAGACAGTTGAGAGCAGCCAAGTAACAGTTCACCTGCTTCTGAAGGCCGAGGCGGGTTCGAACTTCCCGACCGAGACGCATCCCAAACTCGAACATCACCGTCCCAGCTGAGCGCACACACACACACAACACATGGATAAACGAGACAGACGTGTGTGTGTGTGTGTGTGTGTGTGGGGGGGGGGGGAGACTGACCTTTGCGGTAGTTGTGGCGAGCGATGTGAAAGGCGTACAGCAGCTCATAGTAGTTGTGGGTGAGCAGGTCGAGTCCCCGGGCCCTAGACTCAATGATGCTGACAACCTGAGAGCAGAGGTCAAAGGTCAGCACTCAGGTCCCAAAGTCACACGAACACTGCAGCATCACTGAGAGTTAAAAACTGTCTAAATTCTTTCATCTGCAATAAAATGATCAGCGTTGCTGCTTTACCAGGTGTAACAATTACGTTTAACATCCATGAAAACAGGATTTATTAAATTCAACGGAGTTAGAAGTTAGCTCGCTAGTTTCCACCTAAACATGATATAGCATGTTCTGACTGAGAGATTTCTGAAAGAATCCAAACGTGCAGCTCTATCACTTCCAACATAAATGAAGACAGAAAACTAAACAGCAGTGACGTTTGTAGGGTTACTGAAGTTGGGCTAGCTGCTATATAGGGAACAGAGCAGCTGCGAGAGAATTCAGCATTAATGAATCGATGGCACAGAAGTGGAGGAAGCGCAGTTTGTGGCTCTCCTCATATTCCAAAAGTGCTTAGTCTCTTTGCTGTGGCTGTCGCCTGGCATAATTTACAGATGATGTTGTTTGCAGCCGCTGCAATGCTTTCGACCAAAACAGGCGCAGCTCGATGACATCATCAACATGCACTATAGCGGTATAGTCAAAATCTCTACCGTTGGCCAAATTCATATTGTTTGTACCGTTTACACCGCCCACCCCTGATTTGTACCATCAGAATGAATGAGACTAGTGTTGGGCTACACTAGCAAACGGTTTTACGAACTAAACTTATGACTGTTGGCCAAGAGGACTCCTGTACGGCTGTGACGTTCTCCCAGAAGCATCACACTGAGGTGCAAGAAAAAGTCAAACAAATGATGTCAAATAAAGATTTTCTCTATTTCTCGCCAACATGCCGTCCACCACAGCTGTAGCTGCTTATGTCACAGTTGCTAGGCAACAGAAGCCACCCATTGCAGGCTAGACCGTCCAATTTAACGGCCTCGCACTTCCGGTCTTTGCGGCTACGCAGACCAGGTGGGCCGGATCCTTCGAAGGATTCAGCCCTGAGGTGACGATGTCGCTACACAGCACATGCTCAGACGTCACAATCACACATGGATGCATTTCGTTTGCGAGGGCCACCAAAGCCTCACTCTGACCCGCCAGTACAGCTCGCAGCGCGGGTGGAGAAACCAGCTGCGCAGAGCAACATAACAATATAAATTTGGACAACGGTAGAGATTTTGACTAAACCGCTATGGCGCATGTTGATGGAGTCATCAACATGCGCAGAGCAGCTGTTTCAGGCCGGAGGAGGTAAAGCTGCAGACTGAGAAGAAGCAGAGTGGGTGGAGGCCCAAGTGAAGAAGCCGCTGAGGTGGGCAGTGGTGAACTTTTACAATAATGAATTAAGCCTGGATGTGTTGCAGCTCTGTAGCGTCCTTATTTGAAAGTAAAACCATCATCCTTTGATCCACATATTCCTTTTCTGGATCCATGCATTCACCTCCTCCGCATCCACCCTCGGATCTCCTCTCGTCTCCTCAGCCAGGAGGACGTCCTTCAGAGGAAGCTCGTTTCATGGTCTCAGGCAAGGGTGAATACGTAGTTTCACCTTTACACCAACTCCCACCTCCACCTCCACTCATAAGAGACAACTCCACCACTCGTCCTCGACCTAACCCAGCCGCTCCATCTGGTTTCTGTTTTAGCTTCACGTAAACAACTGTAAAACTAAAACTTCAGGGTCAAAAGGTCAGAGGTCACGTTACCTCGTCGTGCAGGTTGACGTAGGGGAAGTTGACCAAATCCTGCAGCTGCGAGCGTTCACACAGCACCACCACCAGCTGACGGAGGCAGTCCAACTGCCTAAGATACAGGGAGACACCTGCTCAGACACGCGACCTTTGACCTTTAGCATTGACTGCCAACATAGAGCGTTTACCTCCACCTGTGTGTGTGTGTGTGTGCGCGCGTACATGCTGCCGTCGGGGTTCTGTGTCAGAGCGTCGTATGCCTCGCTGTTGTGTCCGAGGTCCAGGTGATGTTTGAATATCCGCGTCCACAGCGCCGCCTGAACACAGACATCAGATCAGTTTACGCACCGACAGCGTGCCGGCACGCTGCCGTCAGACCGCCACATCTCACCTGACTGCTGACATCGCCGACGGCCTCCGTTATGGCCAGAGTGGCGAGCTGGATGACGAGCTCGGGCAGACCGACGTCCTCCAGCAGACGCAGCACCTGAGGGGAAAATGCACATTCGTTAAAACACGCCATGCTGCTGCTTCCTGTCCTCGCCGGCTTTGACCATCAGCGTCAGGTGGAACCTCAGAATCTCCGCCTTCTACCTTGTTGTAGTACTGCAGTCGGGGTGTAGCAGGGGCGACTGCGGCGTCTTCATCCTCGCTACCAGTTAACCTCATCAGAAACTCCTCCTTTTCCACCTCCGTTGCTGCCTCCTGGAAGCACCGCAGAGCCTGACAAAAGGAGCAAAACAAAAGAACACACAGGAAGTGAGGTTATGGCGAGCAACTCTGCCTGTAGGACATGAGGTTGCCATGGTGACCCACCTTCTGGCCTTCACCGTTGGCGAGGTAACACTGAGCCAGCATGAAACGACAAGAGGCGATGTTCACCTGGCACCACGGACCAAGCAGACGCACGTACTCCTGCAGGGGGACAACACGTGGACTTGTTCATCGGTTACAGCTGTGCACATCTGGACTGTTGTTAAAGCCACTCTGCCACATGATTAGGCACACCTGTTCAACTGCTTCTTGTACAATATCGAATGAGCCAATCACACGGCAGCAGGTTATTGGATTTAACAGGGTTCACGTGTCTTTCCAGGGTCAAATTCAAGGACTTTCAAGCACTTACAAGGTCAAGCTTTTCCAGCACATGTTTGACCTCAGTGACGAGACAAGCAAATCATCCTCGGCTGATTTCGACCTTTGTTCCCCTTTTGTTAAAAGGTTGCCTTACATGCATGTAGTGCATGAACTCAACACATCGCAAACTTTCAGGTGTGCAAATGTGAACAAATCGGCTTGTTAGAGAAACTCCCACAACGCCGGGAAAAAACAACAAAACTGGAATTACAGTGATGAGAACTCTTTTCAGTCTAATTGTTATTTGTGTGAATGAAACCATTTTAAGTACCAAACCCAAAAATCAGCCATTTTCAAGGATTTCAAGCACCCGTACGATCCCTGTTACAAACACCTCCTTTCCAAGAGGAGCTTCTGAACCTGAGGAGGAGGAGCAGGAGGAATCCTCACCTGCAGCTGAGTGTACTGACAGTTGGCAAGCAGACACTCTGGGAACTGGAAGCCAGGGTTACTGGGCCATCTGGGAGAGAGACCAGTTAGGGAACAACAGGAAGTTAAACACCACAGACCACTGGCGAGTTTCACTTAACGTGAAGAGGCGGAGCCCAATCAGGGCACGATGAAGGATACAGCAGCTGAGCGAGCAGCTGCACCACACTAGAGATCACGTCAGTCCAGACGAGCAGAGCTCCGCCCTGCTGGTTCGAGAACAGCTGAGACACGATGAGTCGGCGAGCTGCCGTCTGGTAGAAGAGCTCCACAACGGTCTGAGGGTTCAGAGCTGCGGGGGCGGGACAGGAAACGCACACGCTTTAAAAACCACACGGACCAGGACCGTCGTCCCTGACGTCACATCACAAATCAAAGCTAAACACGCAAACAGAGCAGACCTGATCGTCCAGAGGTCATGGTGGGCGTGTCCGACAGCTCCAACACGGTGAGGTGCTGCAGGTTGGCGTCTCTGAAACATCAGAACAGGAAGTGCTCAGTGTGGTTGCTACGGACCTGAGAGCTGTGTGTGCTGCGTGTATTAGTGCTCACATGGTGCTGATGGGCACGGAGGAGGCGAGGCTCTGACTGACATGTTTGAGGAGATGATAGGAGGACAGGAGCTGGGAGGTCCGAGGAATCAGGTCCTGCTGTAGCTGCAGCAGCTGAGCCCCCCCACCCAGAAACACCTGGACACAAACACACCTGTTGAGCTGCACACGTGTGGCTCATAAACACACCGAGGAGAAAGACGATCAGGTGATGGTGAGAAGCTCTCGGATGTCTCCGGACAGCTGTTGCTTGGATACAAGAAGCTTCTAGCAGTGCGCTGTCACATGAAAGAGGTCCTCGGCCCCCATGTAACCTCTCAAAATTACCACATGCCAATCAGAAGCCCTTCAAATCCCCCTTGTACCCCTGATTCCGGCTTGACCGTCTCATACAGACAAGCCGAGACCTCTTCCTGTCAAAAGGGAGTTCTCCCTTCCTATCATCACCAAGCAGGTGACGGTGTGTGTGTGTGTGTGTGTGTGTGTGCACGTACATTGTCTCCAAAGCGCAGGTAGAGCTTCTGCAGGATGAGCAGGTCTCTGCAGAACAGCGCTCTGGTCATGGCCATGTGACACACGGCCTGGGAGATGACAGAGACCGCCGTGCTGCCGCTGTACAGCTGAGACAGGCCGATCCTTAAATTCAGGCTCTGACCTGCAAGACAAGGCGCAGGGCACACTGAAGCGACTGACAGCGGGGTCGCACTTTCATTCACCGAGAGGGTATTACCGGGCGCCACGAGTCCGTCCCCGCCGACCTCGGAGTCCGTCTCCAGGTCCATCTCTCTCAACAGGACCATCATGGCGGCCATCGGGTTTCTGACATCCTGAAGTTTGTTCTGGACATCCACGATCACGTTATCACTGTGGAGGACAGACGCCACGTGTTTAAATCACCAGCAGCGACCCCGGTAAATTCAGCCTGCGACCCTCTGAAAGTCTGACGTGTGAAAACAAAGTTACACTGCTGCCTGTGGTTATGACTTCAAAGGAAACTTAGCTCCTCCCCCCCCGATCATCACCGAAGGACCGACAGGAAGTGCGGCGCTCACTGAAGGATCCAGTTCTTTTATTTCCTGAGGATGTTCAGTGATTATCTCCTCAAAGTGTCTCTACGCTCTCTGAACCTGTGAGCACACCTGAGCTCCTGCTCATTAACCATCAGGATGCTTTTCTTTAACGTACAACCTAAATTTAAAACAAGTACGTCGGGGGTCATGTGACCCACCTGTCGTTGCACAGCAGGTTCTCCAGGACGAGCTCGGCCGCTCTCTCGGGCGCCTGCAGGTACTCCAGAGCTTTCTCCATCTCGTACGCCATCTCTGCAGAAACGGTGTCGCTGATGAGCCGCAGGCACTGAACCAGCTGCAGGACATCCCGCCCCGCCTCCGGGTCTGACAGCACAGGTGAGCACAGGTGAGATCAGGACGTGCAGCAATCGTCAAACCAACACACTGGCTGTCTCTTTACCTTCTGCGACTGGCGTCTCCTCCTCTGAGAGCAGGTACTGGTCGTGGGAAAGGTACAGGTGATCCACGGCGAAGCACGGCAGCAGGTATGACAGGAAGCCCTGAAACACAGCGGGACGAAAACGGGCGTCACCTCTTTGCCAACAACCACAGGCACGCAGCAACGCCTGCAGGCGGTCCACTCACCTTCCGGAGCAGACAGACCATCCCGGTGTGCTGGCTCACGGTCAGACCCAGAGGAGATGCCTGGACCTCCTGGTACTGCAGACAGCAGGAGTAGAACCGGGACCAGAACTCCACCTGCAGCTGTCGGTACTCCTCCTGAGAAAACTCGAACTCTGTGATGCTGCTCTGCAGCTGCAGGAGGGAAAGAGACGAAGCTTGTTAAAAAAAACAGTCTGAAAAGTTCCTGTTCTGGTTCAGATCGCTCTGCGTTACCTCGCTCTCAACAGCCAGCGTCACCTCCTTCCTCAGAGCCTCCCAGGACAGGTCCCAGATCCTCTCCGAGCCTCGCCGAAAGATCTGAGCAACCCACACAAAGACCATCCAATCAGTTATCAATCAGCGAACCAATCAGAGTGAATCAGACACACAGCTAGGTTCTCACCTGCAGGGCTTTCACGATGGCCGAGGCTGTGAAGCGAAGAGGAGAGAAGAGAACCTCGAGATACGTCTCCTGTCAGGGGTCAGATCACATGGTCAGCACTACCCGTTCATTAAAACACTGGTTACTGGTCTGAACTGGTCTCACCCGGGGGTCCAGGTCCACTCCGATGTGGATTTCTTCTTCGGGTGGAGGCTGAACAAACACCTGGTTCCACTGAGCCGCCGTGTTGCTGTGAAACACGCCGACAGGTGAGGAACATGTGCGGCGACAGACGGCGGAAACACGTGGAGAACATATCAGGAGGACGCTGGCATTTCAACTCACTGCTCGAAGCTGATGTATTTGACCACGGTGGCGTTGGATTCATCCAACCACAGAGCCCAGATGTCCGAGGAGGTCAGCGTGAAGTCTACAAGCGTCTCCTGCTCACAGAGAGCGGTTCAGAATACAGGAAGTAACCACAAACAGAAAAACGAGGCCCGCCCCCTGGCTCCGCCCGTGCGTTCACCTGTGTGCTGAACAGCGTGGAGATGTGCTCGAGGCTGTAGCGGTTGTTGTCTGTGGCGACCAGCTGCAGCACGGTGAACTGCCCCCGCTGAGGGACAGCGAGGTAGACGCAGACGCACAAGCCTGTGGTGGAGGAGAACGCCAGGCGCAGGCGGTGACCGTGGCCCGGCAGGCGCTTCACACCCTTACACGCTGGCATGTACTCCAACATGTCCGCCTCCAGCAGGCAGCCATGCTCCTGAGGGGGCGGAAGTCACGTCAGCACGCGGCAACTCAAACGTTAAACGTCAACAATGTGTTTGGGTGCATGTGTGCGATGTCATCACCCTGAGCGACCACATGCGCAGGCGGTGGTCCTGACACAGCGCAAAGATGAAGGAGTCTTCTTCCAGCTCCCGCACGGCGAGGCTGAGCACGAGGTCGGCCGGGCTGTGCTCGCCGCGGATTGCCGTGGGCATCCACCCAGACAGCCGCTGCATCACAGAGCTCCTCTTCAACTCCAGCACTGACATGTTGCCTGGAAACGGTGAGCACACGTCTTAAAAACCGCCCAACGGGCCACGCCCACATTAAACATAGAAACTCCTCCTCACCCTGAGAATCGGGCGACGGCAGGGTGACCACTGTGATGCCTCCAGCAGGAGAAGCCAGAGCGAAGTGTGCATCTCCGTGGTAACTGAGCCAGGCGAAGGCAGTGCCGGGACTCGCCGTGGTTCCCACTGAGCTGGGGATAAGGGCGCTGTGGGCGGGGTCCTGCAGGCTCAGCTTCCCCACATCAGTGAAGATGGACTGCATGTGCAACTCTGTGACCAGCTCCTACACGTGCACAGAGGAGTGTTCGAGGTCAGTAACAGATAACTGTTTCTATGGTAACCATGGTAATCTCACAGGGCTGTTGGTAGTTTGGTATCAGACCTTAAAGTCTGACTCATCCGTCGTGTCCATAGTGACACTTTCATTAATCAATTGATAACGGTAATCAGTAATCAACAACCGCACGCTGTCCTGCAGCTGGTGGTGCGGCTTCTCCACCCACCACAGGACAGCGTGCAGGCTGAGGGTCACCGTCAGCTACTCACGCTGCGGTACATGCGCGTGGGGTGGGGCAGCAGCAGCCTGTGGACGCTGCGATTGGTGGAGATGAGGATGACGACGTTGCTGAGCGTCTCCTGGATGGTGACTCCTCCGGGCAGGACGGCACAGTGGGTGAAGCGGAGCCTGACGGCGTTGTTCAGCAAGTTGGTGTCCAGAGACTGCTCCACCAGCACCACCGAGTCCCCGGACGTGGACCTGCATGAGTGAGAGTGTTAGCAGAGAACGGCTGACAGCACCTGCAGAGCACCTGGAGAGCAGCTGGTACCCACCAGTGGATGAACCTGTTGCTGGTGACCGACAGCAGCTTCCCGCTCTCCTCATAGTGAAACGCTCCCGCGCTGTCAGGAAACTTCAGGCTGCCAGGTGGCACGCTCACACCTGCAGACCGGAAAGACAGGTGAGGGAGAACAGGTGAGTCCGGTTTGAACAGGTTCTTGACCTGCAGGTGTCTGAAGCTCTGATCAGCAGGTGACAGTGTTTCTCAGATCAGTAATCAGCTGCTTCCGGAGGCGCAGACAACAAAGACTGCAGGTCAAGGCCCCGTGATCAGCGCAGGTTCACCGTGACAGCTGCGTGACCAGGTGCGCAACAGGTGAGCAGCTAACGGAGCTAGCTGACACTAAACGGAGACGGAGGAAGATTTACGCGCTCACCTGGTCAGGTGAGAGTTCGGAAGTAAAAACAACAACAGAAACACCCCCAGGCCGCGCGCGGCTAGCAGGAAGCTAACACGCTAACGCCGGCAGGTACGGGCCGTCAGGCTGTTAGCTCCCTGCTAGCCGCCGACAGCGGCGCGCAGGTGAAGTGCACGTGTTACCCAGATTCGCGGTGAGCTCGCGCGGCCTCCGCTCGGCCTCTCTCTCGAACCCGCAGATCTCGATGTAGCTACGCTCCAACGCCGCCGCCATCTTGTCCTCGTGCCGCTGCGGCCGCGCGTTGCGCTTTCAAATCCGCTCCAGCTTCTTCTTCTTCTTCTTCTTCTGTGTAGGGTTTATTGGCAGTTGGCAAACAGCAAAATGGTGCATTACCGCCACCAACTGGTGTGGAGTGAGGACCGAAATGAAGGAAGGAAGGAAGAAAGAAAGAAAGAAAATAAAATATTCAAATCCCCCCCGAAACAAATGGGTCTGCCTTAAAAACCAAAATACAGCCTGATAACTTTCACTTATAGAGCTCATGCGAAATAAATCAAGTCCAACTTCACTTTCATATCATCCAGCTTTTTGATCAGTTGTCTCCTTTCAGCATCATACTGCTGACAATGCAACAGAACGTGTTCGATTGTTTCTTGTTCCCTATGCAGTCACACTCCCCTGCACAGTGTTTACCTATTAAAATAATGTGCTACTTAAACCAGTGTGTCCGAATCTCAGTCGAGATATAATCGTCTCCCCTCTCCTGTTTTGTCCTGTACTTCTCGTTTCCCCCACCTTCCTTTGGATGTTGTACAACCATCGCCCTTTCCTCTCCTCCTCCCCTTGCTTTTACCACCTTTCCTTCATTTTGTATCCCATTCTACTCTTGAGCTCCGTTCCACTAACACTAATATCCACACCTACCATTGGTCTCCTTGTTGCTTCTTTTGCTGTCCTATTTGTTGTTTCATTTCCTTTAACTCCATGATGCGCTGGTAACCATGAGAATGTGACCATAAGCCCCATCATAACAAGTCTGAACAATGTTTGCTGGATCTCTATCAGAATGTCAGTCTGCAGTCTGAGTGACAGTCTTGCAAACTGGCCAGTGATGAGCTCGAGTCTGAACTTATCACAGAACTTAGTGGTTTTGTTTCTTCAGTCCACTGGACTGCTAACAATAATGAAACCATTTCTCCTGTGCACACTGATAAATCGTCACTGATCCTTTTCCCTACCTTCATATTAAATTCAGGAACAATAAATGCTATCCCTCTTTGGTTGGCTGTATTCTTTGATGCATCTCAAATCAAATCACTTTTATTGTCACATCAGAATCAGAATCAGAATCAGAATCAGAATGGGGTTTTTTGCCAAATGTTGAGCAGGTTTACAACATTAGGAAATTGCTGCGGTGCTTCA